TTGTGAGAGTTGTGTTGGAGAACACACAAACCAGCATACAGAGACACTGCAGTTTAAATAGGCTTTTACTTTTGTTGAAATAGAGGTATCAGAGTCCATCAAACAGTCCAAGTCATACACGGATAATTCAGTCAGTCATCAATGTCTTTCAGTTAAGGGATAATCCAAATAATATAGTCCAGTATCATATAATTAGTCCGGTACACAAAGTTTGCTAACAGTTGCGAAACTTACGATAGCTCACGGCACTCAGATCAGATCAGCATCTAACAAACAGAGAGAGAACTAACAGTCATTAGAACCATTAGAATTATATTCCTAACAAATTGTATACCGACCTTGAATATAGAAATGATTTACATCATTTTGTTTAGTGACTGTTTAAAGTTACAACTTACATCAATCTGTTTAGTGACTGTTCAAAGTTACAGCGGCACTGAAAAAAATGACTTATGACTGTTTTTCACAGTTAGGGACCATTGCAACATCCCTGTGGCCATGTGATCAAAATTCAGATGCTTGGCAACTGACTCATATTTATGACGGTTGCAGTGTTCCGGGGTCATGGGATCAGCTCTTGTGACTTCCTGACAAGCAAAGTCAATGGGGAAGCCAGATTCACTTAACATACAGGTTGCCAACTTAGCAGTTGGAGTGATTTCCTTAACGGTGGCAAGAAAAGTCATAACATGGGGTAAAATTCACTCAACAAGTGTCTTGCTTAGAAAGAGAAATGTTAAGCTCAATTGTGGTTGTATGTCGAAGATTTACCTGTATGCTATTAGATTAGTTCTTCAATGAGGAGCAGCCAGTAGCCTAGTTAAAATTCCAAAGGCAAAAAATAAAGGTAAATTCCAATGTGGCCTAGATAGATGTCTGCTTCTTCTCCTCAACACTTCCACCCACATTAGATGAGTTTGGGGTGAAAGCTACACATGAGGCGAATTCCATTCTGCCAACTCTGTTCCAAGAGCATGAGGACACATTTGGACTCCACTTAATCATGATCATGTAAAATTGCTGATTAATTGAGTAGCAAGTTTCATAATCCTTTCTGTTAGACCCTCTGAAGAAGCTAAGTAAGAACTATAGAATCCATGAGCATTTGTTACATTATTCCCATATGGGATAAAGGAATAGTAAACAGTTACATGAATAGAAAAGTAGATGGTGAAGATTGGTCCATGATTTGAATGCTTGTCAAAGAATTTCACAGGACATATAAGTATCAGCTTTATTGTCATTGTACTCAAATACAACGAAATTGTATTTGTTGACATATCATTGTGTCACACTAATTTCCATGCATATAAACTGACTAGATTTGTTAACATGATTAAAAAAAATATTTCTTCTCTTTTTAGTTTGCTGTTTTGTGGTTCACAAGAGGTGCCATGAATTCGTTACATTTTCTTGTCCTGGAGCTGACAAGGGACCTGACACTGATGTATGTACATTGGATTTTTATTATTTCATTCATTTTGCTGCATTAATTGTTTTGAAAAGTCATTGGAACATTAGAATATCTTAATTTGATCTTTTCTACATTGTGCCTTATAGATATGTTTTCTTTGCCACTGGATAACTCTGCAAATTAGGGACAGGTACTAGCAAGTAATGATGGAAACAAACAGACAAACAAAAATAAGGATACAGAATGTAGAAAAGAGGATGCACAAAGGTACTTCCTGGAATTTTCCTGGAAAGAGCTTCTAACAGATGTAGAGCTCATCAGCAATAACATGTTTTCTTTTAATAGCAACTTTTATTTCTATTTAATTACCTGTAGCAGCTTTATTATGTATTTATGTTTCTGGAATGCCTGATATAGTAAATGGAGGCAATTTTGTCAAGTATAGGGAGTAAGTTACTCTATGACAATATACTCTGTACTAAATGTATAAGAACTAGTTAGTCATATCACACTAAGCTGTATTAAGGCATGCTTTGGTTTGGCCTAGCATGAAACATAAAGTTATGCATTATTTTGGGCAAATTATAATTTGCAGTAAAATAAAAAGACAATTTGAATTCCTAGAAATACATTAAGTGTCCAAACTCCATTATTTTGTAGCCTCTTCAAACATAATTGTAAAAAATTCTTAGTATGATTTCCCATTACAGTGCTGTTGTTTTTTATTTGAAGCTTATGATAATATAAAATACAAATAGAAACTGCTAATAAGGGAATAGGGGAGGGAAAAGTAATGAGAAGGGAATGCAAGATAAAGGGGAAAGAAAAAATTGATTTTTGATTGTAGTAAAATGCAAAACACAGCTACAACTTCAACTTTTTGCTTACACATTGAGTATATATATATTAACCATTTTTCCAACTAATCTAATCATCAAAACCTGAAATCAAAGTTTCATTTTTCCCCCGTTTCATAAAATCCAGAAGCAATTTTCAATAGAAATAAAACTAGATATATCTTCTCTTTAATTAAAATGTTAATTTTGCTATCTCTGGCACCTGCATCACTTTTTCCATCCATTCTTTCATTGAGGGAATCAATTGTAGCACTGTAAGGGTAGAAACTCAGGCAGAGTGAGGTCCTATACTAGTGTGGACACAAACAAAACATAAAGAAGTGATATTGGTTTTGGAGAAGGCTCCTGATGGATTGCCTCCTCCTTGGATAACCAAGAAGCACATCATAGAACCAATCAATCCAGAGTTCCCACTTGATGCTCTTGTTGCATGCTTTATACAGCTATGTGATCCTCTACATTAATAAATAGATAATAATAATTTGAACCTGGTCATTTGATACCAACCTAATGATGCATAATCAGTGAATCAATGGATTGTACAAATTGGAAGTGGATACCACAAATTAAATATATACTATTTTTTATACAGAGCAGATGCTTTCATATATAATAATGGCTTTTCATTTCAATGCATGTATAAGTGACTTTCCTAAAACAAGAAATAGCAGTAAGCCATTCCCAGATAACAACCCAAATAGCACATTGAAGTCCATTAACTCCAGTGCCAAAGCACATGTTCCATTTCTTTTTAAAAAAAATCACTTTTCTAGCCACTCTGTATGGTGAATTCTACAAGAGTATGTCTTATGAATTTTAGGTTACCCTAAATTTGATTTCTGTTGCTTTTCTTCCCGCTTCAAACCATTAATGATAGATTATTGAATCATAAGTAATTCTATTTGCAGGAATGCATTCCCAGTGTTCCAAAGAGGCCATAACATGCCTACTAGGTTCAAAACCTGAGAAGATGCAATTTCTTGTAGAACTTCAAAAATGTTTCAGTTTTTCAGATGTGTTCAAAGAAAAAATAGAAACTTAGGTAGCTACAGCTCAAGTCTATCACTATGAAGATGAATCAGCCACAATGAATTCATACAATTAGGCTTTTCTAGACTTTATTAGGGATGTGGTGGCTCAGTGAGTAAGATGCTGATCTTGTCGATCAGAAAGGTCAGCAGTTCAGTGGTTCAAATCCCTAGCGCCGCATAACGGAGTGAGCTCCTGCTACTTGTCTCAGCTTCTGCCAACCTAGCAGTTCGGAAGCATGTAAAAATGCAAGTAGAAAACTAGGGACCACCTTTGGTGAGAAGGTAACAGTATTCCATGCATCTTTGGCATCTAGTCATGCTGGCCACATGACCACGGAGACATCTTTGGATAGTGCTGGCTCTTCAGCTTTGAAACGGAGATGAGCATCACCCCCTAGAGTCAGGAACTATTAGCACATATGTGCAAAGGGAACCTTTACCTTTTACCTAGACTTTATTACTAGAACATTAAATGCTGTGGACACTCAGAAGTCAGGAAGTAGCTTAGTGTCACATGGAGACTTCTGTTCATGGCAGAAATATTGTGTATTTATGGATCTTCACTTATCTCTGAAGAGGCTTTCAGGATTTCAACACAATATTATAAATCTTTATTTTCTGTTAATCCCGGGATCATTTTTTTTAAACCTCAAGTGAATTCAATGGTATTTATGTTGATGATATCACAATAAGTTGATCAAAAATTAAACAGATTTTGTTTTTCAGTGTTGAACATTGTTCTCTGGATGGTGACTTTCTTACAGAAAACTCTTTCCAGGATTTTTTTTTAATTTGCAGAGCCATACTGGAAGAGCATAGAAAAAAAAATAGCTTTGTTAGAAGTTGCAATGCCATAAAAGAGGATAGAATTTTGTTTTTGCTTATTTATTTCTTTTTATTGCCACCTTTAATATTTTTTTAAAATAAGGTGATGAGCATATCCAGCACACCTTCCTTCTATTTTCTCCACAACAACCACACAGTGAAGTGAGTTGGGCTGAGAGACAGTGAGTGGGGCAAAATCATCCAGCTATTTTTTTTTACTAAGGCTCACTAAGGCTTGTCCTGCTTATGCTTATATGCCTATGCTACAGTTAATAGGATACCACCAATTAATCAGCAGTTAATTGGTGCAGGTTTTCATCTCTAAATTGGGTCAACTGCTTGCTTCCCATTATAAGACAAGCTATTCGTGCACAATGTTCTCTTAGGAAATGGTATTTATAACTAAAACACATTTCAAACTGATATTTTCAGTCTACTCCAAGATTCCTGTTGAACAAAAAGAATCCTTAATCCTTGAAAAAATATTTGATTTAGTTATTTGTCATATTTCTAGAGCAACTACTGGTATGTTTGCTTATTATCCTACTTTGTTTGTTCGTCTTCAGATTTGTATAGCTGCCATCTCATAAAAAATGACTCTGGGCAGCATACCACAATCCACATCTATAAAATAATCAGTATGAAATGTAAGAATTGATATTAGAAGATAAATATCACAAAGACGAAATATACAAACCCTAACCAAAAGGAGAATAAGAATAGCAATTCAGCAATAGAGCATCTAGGCATATCTCCTGGTATCCAGGGAACCTCAGACTTGGTGACATAGCCAGATCTTGAGAGACTTCTGGAATATCCAAAGGGATAGAGATAATCTAATTTCAGGGAGAAGAATGTTCCATTAGGGTCAGTGGCCATGGCTCTTGGAACCCATCTAAAGATAGATCCTTAGCTGATGGAACCTGCAGCACACCATCTCTTCTTGCAGGAAATTTGAGTCTCTGCAAATATTTTTGCAGGATTGCATTGTTTATTTATTTGTCAGCTTGCAGTCTATCTTAATTTTTAGAAACTGTCCCTTTTGATAAGAAGTATATTCTCCAGCTTGGCTGAGCTTTCCTTTGCTCCTGATGTAAAAAGCTGCCTTGAACTATGAGCTATGTGGCTACTATATTTTCCGGAGTATAAGACACACCGGAGTATAAGACGCACCAAAATTTTGAAGAGGTAATTTTTTTAAAAAAGTTTTTGCACTCTGCAGATCTCCCAAACCCTCTGCATACCTCATTTTTTGTGAAAAAAAAACAGCCTGTTTTTAGCTCCTTTTTGCCCTCCCCATCCCCCAGGAGCACTTTGCAGGCCTCCCTAACCCTCTGTGTTTCCATTTTTGTGAAGAAGGCGGGGTTTCAAGAGGCCAGAAATTCTGTATTTACTGTATAAGAGGCACTCAGATTTTCACCCTCTTTTTTGGGGGGTGGGGGAAGGTGTGTCTTATACTCCCAAAAATATGGTAATTAAAATTTATATATTATTTATACATTAAACAAATGTATATGGCCACCCACATCACACCTAGATGACTTCAGGCAGTTTACAACATTTAAAAATCCATAACTTGAACACCTTTAAATACTCTATCCCACCAAAGATGGTATTCAGTAGGTTCTGAACAGTTCTGGAGAACCGGTAGCGGAAATTTTGAGTAGTTCAGAGAACCGGTAAATACCATCTCTGACTGGGCCTGCCCCTATCTATTCTCTGCCTCCCGAGTCCCAGATGATCAGGAGGAAATGGGGATTTTGCAGTATCCTTTCCCGGCTATGCCCACTGAGCCACAGCAACAGAACTGGTAGTTAAAAAATTTGAATCCCACCACTGGACCCCACCCTCTATGGCAAGAACAGTACAATCAAATTGAACACTTGATCAATTTGATCTCCATTCGATCTCTCAGGCATGCTGACAAAACCATACTTTTATGGCCTTCCGAAAAAGCAACAGAGTGGGTGCTGACCATACCTCAACTGGAGTGATATTCCATAGAGTGAGGACGACTACCAAGATTAAAATTAAATTTATTTATTTATTTATTGCTAAATACCGGTAGTTACTATATTGTAAATGATTTTTAATTGTTTTATGACTGTTTGCTACTCAGAGTCCTTGTCTGAAAGGAAGAGCTAGAGGAATTGACTAAATCAATAAAAATAAATAAACACATGGCAAAAATTAATTACATTATTTTAGAATACACCTTTGTTTGCTTGAGATCACATGGTTTCATTTCAAAAAGCTATTTCATTTAAAAATGAGCCTTATTAGAACTTCAGTTTTGATCCAATTCATGATATATTAGCTT